CATTCCTGCAGTTAAATGACCTGGACCAAATTAATTGACTGAGAGTAGCAATTAGTTTGGTCACTGTTTTAACAGAGATGCACACTGTGACAGCTTTCTGCATTCACTTTGGAGTCTCCCAAACTTGTACTTAAGCTACATTCCAGCAAAATTACATCCATAAAAAAACCCGCTTAAGCTATTGTATTTGGAAAATACGTTTGTGTGTTCCGATCCTATTCTCAGTAAAGTTTTGCACGGAATAAAGAACTAGGCTTAAAGGGGATTTTTTTTTTTTTTTTTTTTTGTCCACTATACCTTTCTGTTTGAGGAGCAAACAGTAAAGGAAAAGGTAGTACTTGTTCTGCATTTCTTTCAAATGTTATAATGACAGCATCAAACTGCATTGTTTGAAAAGTTTAAGTATGGGAGATTGGTGTTTCTGATCTGGGATCTTGTTTTGTTCATATATATTTTTTTTTATGTTGGCTTTCTCCACAGATCACACAAAATTGTGGTGTGAGGCAGAGATGGTGAGAAAAGCACTGGCACAGAAGTGTTTCAATTTTCAGGCCATCCTTTCATTAACTCTGATGGCTCAGCAGCAGAAACACCCATGTTTGCTCCTCCACTTCTGGGATTCTCTCAGCTTGTGCGGCCACATCAGGTACTTGCCTTTTATCTTTGTTAGGGAGCACTAAGAATTAAAAATCCTCTTTGGGCTTTACCCATTGACTACTAATTAACATGAAAAAAATGCTTTACCACAGGACTTCTTTTTTTCACATGCATATATCTCACATACGGTGCACACTAACTGTTCATATACGGTCTTAGTGTGCATTTCGTAGGCACACAAAAGTTCCAGATGTGCTGTGTATCTTGTTTAGTTGACTTTATTCTTCTGTAAAGCCAAGAGAAATATTAATCATTCATTTACTGTTAGGGGATGGGTCGTCTTCTCATGTTTCAGTAAAGGGGGTGGAAGAGTAAAGTAAGCCAAATTTTTTCCTATTTAAGGCCAAAGCTGGGGAATGCTTGTGGCTGAGTTCTGTACATGGCCCGGTGCTGGAAGGGCAGGGAACAACCGATGTTGCTATATTGAATAGATTTTTCTCCCCCCCCCATTTTTATTTTTGCACAGAGAGTCTCATGTCTAATATTTAGACATGATGAGCTTTGTGCAAAAAGTAACTTTGCTCATTCTTGCCGTGTTTCAACCCTCAGTTATTTTGGCACAACAAGAAGGTGAGTAATTCAAGCTTCTTATGATTTAATGTTTTTATTTTATTTTTATTTTCACCAATTATTTTAGTTGCTTGTAAGAAATGTGTATTCACAAATCTCACCAGAACACTTTTCCTTCACTAATTCAGCACAGTCAGATATTTAATGCTGAAGCAGAAAGCTGCAGGAGTTTGAATTACCATCCCAAAGGTTTCTCTTCGCTTTGCTTTCTTCTGTGGTTAAAAGGACTGTACAGTGCTCTCTGCCTTAGCTGCATTTGTTCTTGTTCTTACTTGTTTTCCTATTACAGACACCGGAGAGTTTTTAAACTATTTCTTTTAACTCTTGGAACAACATTTTAACTATTAGCTCTGTGCTGCCTGGAAGTTATTTGTCACAAGCAATAAGTCTTTGCTTCCAGCTTTTTTATTTGGAGTTCTCCTTTTGTACTTGTGTATTTTCCACTGGCAGCATGGGGGTTTGTTTAAACAATTTGTGAGCGGAAAACAGCCTTGAAATCCTAACCAGTTTTGATTAAACAGTTTTTAAGACAGATATATGAAAATATGTCAGCTTACGGGATTTTTACTTGGACATAAAGCAGGAAAGTAGATTAATTCCCTCAGCTGAAATAGTTTGAATTGTGCATCTGCAGGCTGTTTCGGTCCTTCACAAGACTGATTAGCAGCTGATGGTATCTGGGAGCCCATGCAAGTACATGTGTGCATGTTTGCAGAAAGCGAGAACACCAAAACCCATGGAGTTTAGAGGGGGAAAACTTACTTTGTGTACAATAATTCAACTTAGAGTGAAGATAAGTGTGGTATGAGTATTTAAGTTAAACAGATGACATTCCACAAGTACAGCTGACCTTTTTTGGACGTGTTGTGTTCCTGCTTGCCAGACGTTGTAAACCAGACCTTCCTTAAGATAAAACATTTTTCTTTGTTGTAAACATAAAAGATCTGCAAAGTATTTATTCCTGCATGGAGGCAACGAATAACTTTACAAATAACTTGATAAGCAGCAGCCAAATAAACTGTAGTGCAGCAAAGGAAAGCCAAATGCCTTTACAACCACACCCTGCCCTGGTCTTTATAATACAGATCATGAAAACTATTACTTTAGCCATTTCATGGCAAATCTGCCTAGGCATACCTGGAAAGGTACCTCTGCTGAGGGGGTGACGGTGAGCTCAGCAGCAGGCTGTCGGCAGCCTGTCAGGGCTCAGGGGGCTCCATGTACAAGCAGACCAGGTAACATCAGCTGCAAGAGCAGCGTCCCCAAATACCAGCCCCCCCTCACCAAGCACAAGCACAGGCTAAGCCTTGTGAAGTAAAGTATCTGGAAAAAAAAAAAACAAGGGATAGAAAGATGTGCTGTAGAGTATAAACATAATATGCTGTGAACTGATGCTTTTCTGTTTCTGCTGTTCCAGTATATAAACTGCCTCTTCAGTAACCCTCAGTGAAGAAAATATAAAATTTGAGCAAACCTGTGCTGTGAGTTTTCCCTGCTTACAGCAGCAAATAATATACATATTGCATACATTTATTATGCATTATGTGTATTTATTTATATATAGATATAGATATAGATATAGATATAGATATAGATATAGATATGATATAGATATAGATATAGATATCTTCAGAGGGATAAGGACAAAGGGATCATTCAATACAAAAAGAAGGAACATCAGTTTTATTTCACCAAATAAAGAATTTCCCCCTGAGTGCCAGGTCCCTTTCCCTCGCTCTGGTCGTTTCTGAGGTGCAACACATATTTGACTCAAGAAATGTTAAATTTTGGGTAGAAGAACAACATACAAACGAAGTGTGAGGGAGTATTCTCATTTCTCTGCCACATTCTTGTTTCATGGTGTAGTAACATTTCCGTACCGGGCTAACTTCCATACTACTTACAGGGATGAGGTTACACAGAGAGACTGATAAAACACTAATTATCCTGTAAAATATTGCATTCTCTCCTCTCTTTGGAATTTTCCTTTCCACACCTTTGAATATGCTTTTCTCACAGAAAAAAAATGATTGAAGGAGTTGATTATTAGCATTATTAATTCATGTGCAGGGCAGCAATGGACGGGGTAGCCAATTTTTCCATGATTCCAAAGAGAATTTCCAGACATGCTAAAATGCTCTCTCTTGTCAAGAAAAACGTTTATATGGTTAGTATCAAATGTAAGTCAATATAAAATTTTCCTTGGGAAAGCCTGCCAGGAGACAAGACTTGGCACGATATTAAGGAAACTGCTCAATATACACTAAGTTTAGGATAGTCAGATGTACCTCTGGGCTATGTGTTTCTTTGTCTTGCTGTAATAGCTAGGAATGGAGATTTGAGTATGGCCTCAGGTTGAACCTCTTCAGAAGCTCAACATCTGAACATTGTGGATCAAGAAGTTTTCTGTAACTTCCAAAGCTGGTAGCCCACCAGGGTGGTTTTTAGCCTGCAAATGAAATCACCTTGACACAATTCAGGTTTTCTGATATATGTCAAGTTAGTGTAAGACATTTGCAAGCCCTGGCTATGTTCAAGATAAAATGCCTCGTGGTGGCTGACAGGACAGGAAGCTGGTGCTTTAGACATGACACATGATTCAGATTCCAGCAATGTATATTCAGTCCCACCACCTGAAGGCACCTTTACATCCTGCATATTAAACTACCAAAAAGTGTAAGAACTTCAAATGTTTCTTTAGGAAAGAAATCCATCCTCTAGCCAGCCAGGACATTTGCTAGCCTTACACTTGCATTCATCCCATTTGTCTTGACTCTGTAGAATCAGTCAAGACAGCTACTTCCAGAAGAGAGCATAAATTTTAGCTGGACAGACTGGACATATTTGGCAGTTTCCACTGACTACAAAGGAAGCACGTGCACAGCCCTGCTCACATTGGTGCCAAAGGGGAGGTCAGATGGATTTGGGCCTATCTCAGCTGCATTTGAGATGGGTAAAGGACATCTCAGTCACCTGGAGTGTGACACTTCTCATATGTACACCCCATAGTCCTTGAGGAACTTCACTGAGGTCATCAGGAAAACCCTACTGCTCTAAAAGCAGTGTGAAAGCCGAGCCAGAAACCCTTCATTATTATTCCAAATAATTTTTTTCTCAAATGTAATTTAGTGTTTTACCTGTAATATAAGTATTATCTTGGATGTTTGGTCAGGAAGCTCACTTCTGAGGTAATGACTGAATCCTAAAATATCTCTGAGAAGACTTATTGACCTTTCATATTACTTTCAGTCACAAATTATGGTTTTAAAATGAAATATGACCATTAAATGTAGGTTTCAGGAGGCAGCATGCAAAGAACTCTTTATGCTGAGTGTGCACTTCTGATCCCTTAGAAAAGAAGGATGATATTTTAGGAAAACTTGTGAAGAGCTTGGTTTAGCCATTTTATTTTCTTCTTTCCTTAATTGGAAAGGATTAGATAGATAATGAAGTAGATCAGGACTGCACCTATGCAGTATATTTGTGAGACTGCCAGACTGACATCTTTAGCACTTACCTATATGCCACATTGCACATATGCATTCTTTGTTGACAAATTAGCTAGTTTAAGGCTCATGCTAATGACAGCCAGAACCCTCTTTCCTCAGAGGTTTTGGTAACAAAGAAAAGTCCCCCTCCAGAGTTTTGAAGGTAAAACCAGATGATGTATATCTGTGTGCCAACAGATAACTGTAACCTGGACTATGTGAAGGTATGGAAGATTGGGGTCTACTGCTCTTCTTCCATTTTTCCTAACTCTTTTTCAGCAAGCACATGGCAGGCAAGGTTGTGCTTAGGAAAATTGAAACATTCCTTTCTGGTCTGGAAAAATCATGCTAAATGAAAGCCTGGGGAATCCACCCCCTCTAAACATTATATATATGTTCTTGGAAATATGACAAGTTTCATAAACACATTTTAGATCACACATCCCTGGAAGACATTAACCTTAGGAAAATGAGACCATTATATAGCCCTTTCATTATTTTCCAGATTAGTTTTTGATTTGAGACCAAATCTATGTAGAGTGATTTTTTAAAAGAGGAGGTGGAGTTGGAAACATCCACAGCTTTAGTACAGGGGGAAGATACAGAGGTAGAAGGGTGTTGTCTCTGGCACAAATATTACTGTTGATGCCTTGGTCACAGTCACTACATTTGCTCCCTTCTTAGTGCTGCAGATTCCAGGCAGATCCTACTTCCTTTTCCCGCTTCTGCCAAAATTTTGAGGTTTGCAGTAGGCAGCCGGTGTCACTTACAATATCTTAGCTGATGCCAGTCTTACACAACAGCTGGGTGTTAGTTTTAATTAATGCTATTTAAGAGAAAGAAAGGAGTGAATTACTATCACTTGCTTGTTCCACAAACTGGCTGATAAGCCAGACTGGCATGGATCTATTGGTCATTGTCCCAGTTATGCTCTAATGTTATTCAAACCTTGTTTTAATCAGAAATGTGCAGAAAATGGGACATACCTGGCTTCATAATTGGGAAAGTATGCTGTAGGTCAGTAACGGAAATGATGCAGACTGCCATTTAGCATTTTGGATTAAAACCAATCTCTTCACAGTTGAAACGTTCAACCTACCAGTAGGGGGAAACAATAACAAGGAGTGCTTTCCCAGGCTAGCGGGCATCGTGAAAACTATATTGCTCTTGATGTTTTTATGGTAGGTGAGTAATCTCGAGAAGAGCACAAGCCACAGCTGCTGTAATTTATAATGCAAGTTTTAATTTGTTGGTTTGAAGTTGTTGTAGTTTAACCCCAGCCAGCAACTAAGCCCCACACAGCTACTCACCCACTCCCCATCAGTGGGATGGGGGAGAGAATCAGAAGAGTAAGGATGAGAAAACTCATGGGCTGAGATAAATATGGTTTAATAGGGAAAGCAAAAGCCACACATGCAAGCAAAGCAAAACAAGGAATTCACTCACTGCTCCCCATGGGCAGGCAGGTGTTCGGCCATCTCCAGGAAAGCAGGGCTCCATCACACGTAACGG